GCCACGCTGGGGCAGCATAATCCAACTTGCTTTTCACAAACATCTGAGATATTTTCTTGAGCGACTCCTTACCCCAGCCCCATTTTAAGTTGCTGGCAGCACTGATAACCTTCATTTTAGAGATTGCACTTTTGGACACCTCCTCAATGTGCTTGTTGAAGGTTAGCTGTCTATCCAGGTAGACACCCAGCAGACGTGGAGTGGGGTTGAATGGTATATTTTTCCCTTCGATCTGAATTATTGGTTGCCACGTTGCCTCCTTCACCCATGTTGAGAAGAAGCACACTTCACTCTTGGTTGCATTCAAGGTAAGCTTCCATTCATTGCTCCATTTCACAACCATATCCACAATCAACTGTGTCGCTTCATTTGACTTTGCTCTCTTTGCGTGACTGGCCAGTATTGTGCAGTCATCAGTGAACATTGAGTAGATCAGCTTGGCGGAGGTTAGTTGTTGTGAGTCAGGGTTTGGGAGGGATTCTGCCAGGTTGTTTATGAAGAATAAAAACAGCAGCGGTGATAGTACAGCTCCATGGGGAAGCCCTTGCTTGAAATTCTGGCTCTTGCTTGTTTCTCCATTCAGGCGAACACGGGCTTGTCTGTTTCTCAGGAAACCATGGATCCATCTGATTGCACGCAACGGAACTCGCTTGTCAGCCATTGACAGTAATAGTCTTTCACGCCAAACCGTATCATATGCATTGGAGTAGTCCAGCAGGATTAGGACTGATCGATGGAATGTTGGCTTTTGTTGAAAACCATCCTCAATTCCTTGACAGGTTCTGATGATCTGGTCCGTGCAGCTATGACCTTGGCGAAAGCCTGCCTGAATATCTGCAATCAATTCATTCTTCTCTGACAGGTAATAGATTCTTTCAGCGTGCATCCTTTCTATAACTTTCACGACACAGGATCTCAAACTAATGGGTCGAAAGGATGTCATATCACTAGGTAACTTACCAGCTTTCAAGAGAGAAATGATAAGTGCCTTACGCCAGTCTTGTGGGCATGCTGCTTGGTTAAGCGACAGATTACATATGCTGAGCAATTCTTTCAATGCGAGTGGGCCAAGCTCTTTTAGGAAAGATGGTGGTATATCATTAGGTCCTGGAGCACTTCTTCTCTTCATTTGTGTTATGGCACGCTCCAGCTCTTTCATGATGAAGTCTGGGTATGATTGCTGTTCATCCTCGCTGTTCGCATCGTCATACAGTAGGCGCTTCAATCGGAGTTTGTTTCTTCTGCGCTCCTCTTGGGTAAATTGGAGCTGACTGATTTTTGCATAGTGCAGAGTTGGTATCTGGTGATCCATTTAGAGACTCGATGAAACTCCAAGTTTTCCTTTCGTCCAGATCATTTATCACGCCATTAACTACCTCCTTCCACTGGTCAGTCTTTGCCTCCTGGACAGCCTCTGTAACATCTTTGCAAGCTTGTAACCATTCTTCCCTGTGTGAGGAGATATTTTTTCTTAGCTGGTTTCTTTTCTTGATCAGTCCACGACACTTGGGGGTCATCCAAGAGTGGGATTTCTTGGACGGCTTCACCTTCCTGACATGCGCATAAGCTGCTTCAAGTAAGATGGCATTGAAACGTTGGACTCGCAGATTAGATCATCAGTTTCCGGTAAGTTATCCATCTTGCTTTCAATCTCATTTCGAAAGTCTGGCCAGTTCACTCCATTTCTTCTCCATCGCGCGCCTTTGCAAAGATTGATTGATGTTTAGTTGCACTGTTCACTACAATGATGATTGCAGAATGATCAGAACCACCGAGATCTTCATCATCCACCGACCATACACACTTGCTCTTCCAGACACTTCCACATAGGCGAGCTGCCAGCCTCTGTTGTTTTGTTGATTCAGGTGACAGAACCATCATTCAGGATGTCAAGCGATTTATGACACGCCCATTCAACTACATCTTCTCCTCGCGCATCCTCTTGCTGAATCTCATCCCAGACTGGGGAATGCGCATTGATGTCACCGCAAATGATGCTGGATGGCGACACTGGGATGCTGTTCAAATCAAGCTGGATGGTTTGACCTGTGCTGTTCTTGGGTGGGCAGTAGACATTAGTGGGAGTTATCCACTTTTTTCTGTCATTCTTATCCTGATGGTAAGCGATTCTGTTACTGTCTTCACCCTTCTATCCACTATTTCATACAAAAGACTATCTCTGATATAGTTGATCAGTCCTCCTCCCCGGGCCCCCTGTCTGTCTTCCCGAATCGCCATGTAACCTTTGATATGTGGGGTTCTTTGTCCTTTTCCGAGTTTGCTCTCTTGGATCATTGCCAAATCAATATCACGCTCCTTAAGCCTCATCTCGAGTTCTCCAACCTTCGTCTTTATACCATCGGCATTCCATTGAAGAATGTGTAAGCATTTCTTTTCAGATGACTTCATTTGTTTGGATATATCATCTATTGAAGCGTCAAGATTTGGCATAGGAGCCTCTGTCTGTGGGATTAGGGCATCAATGCATTTCCAACATGTCCAGTTGTTCAGACGTCTTTCATCTCTTCGTTCGTCATCTTGCAACATTCTGGTTTCTTGTGGCAACATTTCCCACACTCAATACACCTAAGGCGCTGAGAACCTCCATAAGTTTTACGGATAGTCTCATTGCAACTCAAGCAATATACTTTAGCAGAGCTTGATGGGATTCCTGCTGGTTGGTCGCTACCCAGTGGAGGCTCACCTCTGTGGACACGGCATGTCCATTCTTGCCTGGAGCTCCACCTACTGATACCACTACATGTTGGCCCTTTGTGTGTCCTTTCTTCACACCCCTCCTGATTACATATCTTAGCTTTTGGTAGATTGGCTTCGCTAAATGCAACCCCACACTCGCCACACTGCACCAGCTCCTCTGGTCCCGGGTTTAGTTCAATGTCACCTGCACGATTCAATCTGATCTTTCTGTATCCAGAGTAGATTGTGGTTTTTCCAGTCTTGATCTGAGGAACAGGAATGCGGAAGTCAGCGACTGGGAGTCTGCTCCCGCTCTCCAAAAACACGCTGGGACGTGCTTGTTGCCAAAGGACAGATCTTCTTGATGCCTTCTCCCTGATTGGCGAGTAGAGGTGCCTCTTTGCAGTGACTTTGGTGTCGGCTGCAGAGCTTCCCCATTGGATGCGGCTGTCTTCGTTGAAAACGGTACTCCCCATCATGAAGGGGACAGCTTGCCACTTTGAGTACATGATGATGATGATGATGATGATGATGATGATGATGATGATGATGATGATGATGATGATGATGATGATGATGATGATGATGATGATGACAGCGGTGCTTGACTAGGCATTCATTGGGGCAAACATGATAACAAACTTAATCACTCCTTAAAGGAAATAAGAACAGTAATTGGGGAGAGACATACTAACACCATGCCAAAAAAAGACAACCCGACCCCCTTCTCCTCCCTCCCCCAACCCAAATCCAAAATAAATAATAACAACAAAATCAAAAGAACAAGAAAGCTCTTGATTCATTGGTTTCCTCAAATGCAAACAGTTTTTAAATCAAAGTTGTTGGGGGGTTGTTTGCTTTACACATTAAGAAAAAACGGTGAATTGCCAGCTTCAAACAAGGACTAAGAAAAATAATGAAAGGTTTTTTATTCGGGGTCAATTCATTTTTAAAAAGCCAAAAAACCGAAAGATGTTACTTCAAACATCGGCAAACAAATGAAAAAAAAACCCAAAGCATTTGATTCATTGGTTCAGACACAAGCAAAAACTATCGTAAGCGTTTGATTTGTTGTTTTCAAGGGAACAAAAATAAATCAAAGCTATTGACTGGTTACTTAATGCATGACTCAGAAGACCTTCTCTGTCGCCTCAGTGCAAGCAGTCTTTGCTGAAAAGTTCTGATGCTGAAACACGAGATAAGTAGGCACACAATAACACTCTTGGGAGAGTTTTGAAATCATAAATTTTCTGCAATAAATGAGGAAGAAGTTAAGAAGCAAAGGTAAGAGAACGCTAATAATGCAACCAGACAGTGGAACATCCATTTGCTAACAGAAAAAAAAAATGATAGCTGTCGCAAATGAGTATGAATGTGGTGAGTCAATAGAACAAGGGGAGTTTTACAGCCATCTTAGATTGAAGGGAACATTTGTTTTAATGTATGTTTACCAGTAACTTCTCTTTAAAAATAACGATGACGGTGATGTAACTTCTCTTTAAAAATAATAATGACAGTGATGTAACTTCTCTTTAAAAATAATAATGACAGTGATGTAACTTCTCTTTAAAAATAATAATGACAGTGATGTAACTTCTCTTTAAAAATAATGATGACGGTGATGATGATGATGATCATGATGGTCATCATGATGGTGATGAGGCGAGGAAGATGCTGATTTATTTTTTTGTAAGCCTCTAAAGATCTAAAAAAAAGCCTATGTGGTGAAACATGGAGCCAGTTTAATAGTTATTCTTTAAATTATATATTATGTACCCGCATTAAATTGTTCTTTCAAATCCCAGATGATTCTCCAATTTTCCTACTACTTGATGATGACAATGAAAATAAACAAATATTAAAAAAGAAGCTTACGATGATAATGGCAATGACCCAGATGTACATGATGACAAAGGCTACAGCGATTATTTAAACAATAATGTCTACAACAAAACAGAGAAATCATTCGCCTTAAGTTCACTTTGACTTGATCTAATTTTTTTTTAAAATAATAATAACAAAAATAATATAATAATAATAATAATAATAATAATAATAAAAATGATAATAATAATAAGAGCATGTACATAGCCCTTCACCCTACCACAATATGCCGAAGGCTCAGGAAGTTGTCTCACTAACAAGGCAATCCCCAATGTCCAGATCAGATGCGGGAACAACTTTACATGGCCTATATCCACGCTCTACAGCATGCTCTAAGCACTTTGCAACTATTACAACTGTCTAAAACAATGTGTGTACTCAACAGCCTCACCACTGTGACGCGACCATGGTCAACTCACCTGTGACTATTGGTAAAAGTGGCGGCACGATGAATAAACACCTGCTGCTGCTCGATAAAGTACGAGTCCACAGGCGTCCGTGTGCGTGCCAGCCATAAGGCACTCTGATCTTCATCCCTCCTGGAAAATGTGTGCCTGGTTAGTTAGTGCAACACCTCATTTATAAGTCCAAAGGAACCATATACGGTTTTTTAGTGACATAGTGCAGCACCTCAATCACTAGACCAAAGGAACCATACAGTTCCTGAGTGACAGAGTTAGTGGCACAAAAACAGCAAATGAATGTGTAAGAACAATAAAATGGGATGAACACTTATGCAACATATCCCGATTTGAAGTTGCATCTCATGAAAATTGGCATGGAGTTACACATTGACAAAGTTATGGATGGCTCATAAGAAATAAAATTCTCAAGATTACATTTCGTGATGGTGGAAAAAAGAAAGACAAACTTTTGCTAAAGACAAAAACCATTGATGGCACATTCCAGCATATGATCCATTCTACAAAAGGACCGAATAATAGGTTTGAAAGAGCCCCTTGACCAGAACCCCATATTTAACAGATACATGCATACAATTATTGCAGACAAACTGTTCGCTGGGGTTTATCACAAAGGGGTCAAATCTTATTCAAGTCGATTTTCGTCCAAAAAGTGAGAAGGTAGCCCTGCTCCCCACCTCGAGCACATCCTACAGACTGGACTGGTTGTATTGGTGTGTACATCCCATTTAAGAAATGACTTTATCTAATACTGATGGCATTCTGTCTGGTAATACACTAGTAACACACTGCAATGCAGAAATAGTGATTTCAAACATACAGGCACAACAACATGATAGTTAATCAATTCAAAGTGGATATGATTTTATGCGGTTATAGGAATTATACAACTGTGTGAATAGATATTTTTTAGTATCATTAAAACTTAAATCTCAAAGGGAATATAGTTGAAGAATGAATAGAAATTTTTTTCATGAGGGAAATAAGTGGGAGTGGAAGAAGACAAGAAGGGGGCTATGGGGAAGAAGGGGGGTGGGGGGGAGGGAAAAAGAAATTGTTGGTGGGATTGTGGAGAGGGGAAGGAGAAGGGAGCGGGGAATCGAGTTTGCGCAGTGAGGTGGAATGGAGGGTCACCTTGATGAGTCTAGGGACTGAGACATCTTGAAACCATCCTTTGACTTCAGCTTTCATCAATTTTTTACTCGGTATGATGTTTACTTTGCGTATCATCATGTTAACATCATCCAAGTTGTGTGAGGAGTAGGAAACAGGACTCTCCCAGAGAGAGACAAAGAGAGACAGAGAGAGAGAGAGAGAGAGAGTGTGTGTGTGTGTGTATGTGTGTGTGTGTGTGTGTGTGTGAGTGAGAGATAGAGAGAGGGAGTGAGAGAAATTGAGAGAGAGATAAACAAAATTATTGAGAAGGGAGTCAAACAAGATCAGGCAAGCCAGGACACATGATTAGTCAGTACGAGCAACGTATCATCATCTGAGGAAGAGAAAAGGAGGAGGGTTTTTTTCCATTATTATCTGTTATAAGAAAAAGGTGGAAAAACAACAAAACTCTCAGAAATGTGACACTATAAACAGTACACAGTACAAGAAAAAAGTAGGACACTGTCCAACCACCCGAACAAGGGATGATGGAAGACATCACATACCATTTCCCTCTGTGCTGCTGATGCTGGGGGAAGTCTAGTGCCTCTAGATCTTCTCCAGGGACAACTGCAAAATCCATTGAAGTCCTGGGACTGGGCATGGAGCGGGTGACCGACAGAGTGACTGATGGGACATCTGATGTGGCACTGACCCCGCGGCTACCATCCAGGTAGTCCTGGCTCGGGACAGTAGGTTTGGGGAGCCACGGAGATTTCACACCGTTGCTTTGACCAAAGTCCATACTAGGATGCCGAGGAAATTCTAAAGTACCATTTCCAACAAAGGACGAATCGAGTTTGTTCAGTTTCAGTTTACTTGGAGAGCGGCTTTTCTTATTCTGGCTTAAAGTTGTTCGTGATCTCTCCACACGGAGACCTGACATGTTGCTGTCATAATAAGTGGGTGAGCGGATGAAAGTCTTTTTTGGGAAGTCCGGGCCAATCGCGTCAAGTTCAAGGTTTTGGTCATCACCCCCTTGGATTGATACGTAGCTCACTGTGACAGGGAAGGCTGGCTTGGAGAGTCCACTGGGTTTGTCTAGTCGTGTGCTGTGTTTGGCCGTATTGCTGTGGTGGTGAGGGTCACGGAGGCCGGAGGCAGAGGGTGAGGTGCGGGTGGAGGTAGAAGATGACTCTCTGTGTGTGCGAGGCCGGATGTTCTCTTTCTTCGTGTCAAGCATTTTTACTGGTGTCCTTGCTTTCTGTGGACAGGACACATTCTTGAAAAGTCTAGACTAGATGACACAAGAAAATGAGAAATCAGCGGATGTTAGTTAGAGGTGACTATGTCAACAGTCCCTGTCTGGGGAAATAAAGGACTTTTATGAAAAGGTATAAACAGTAAACATTTTGACATTGACACGCTGTGATTTGGGCAAAATTACTTGGAGGATTGCTTCAATATTTACACTCATGAAGTACAGTTATTCAAATGCCCCAACTTTGCGTTTTAAAAATATTATTTCAGTCTATATTAACATAGTCACTTCTGGATTTCAACAGTTGAAATTGATCAGAAAATTAAGAAATCAATACATGTGACCCTGTTGATGTTTTCTTTTTTTTTTTTTTTTTTTTACAATGTAGATGTTTTATGCCCCAAATGATACAGTTTAGATCATAAAAAGGTGGGCTTTAACCGTGCCTGTGAGGCCCAACCTGGACTGAGAGGGATACTCAATAAACATTCTCCCCACAACTGAATCAAACTAAATTTTTCTGCAAGGCTGGGGTGTCTGTTACACCACAGATGCCCATGTATTTAGGCCTGCCAGAGTCTATAAGACAATCACCTGTACAAATGGCGACGTCCCATTTTCCCCCCTTTTATATTATAATGACACTGTGTAAGACAGCTACTTCCTTCCTAAACAATGGCTGGCCATCTTAGACAATGTAGACTGTAGTGTGGAGAAAACAAAAAGTGTAGCTACCTGAGTGGAGCTGGCCGGTGGTGATTTCTCCTCTTTTTCCTTAGGGTCCACCCTGGGTGTGTCCATACCTGGTGGGTGGGAGCTGTGGGCACTGCTGGCTGGAAAACCCACCGTGGGGTGTGGCAAGAAAAGTGAAAAAGAAAGAAAGATAAAATTAAAAGAACTTCATTTATTCTTATCCAAAAAGTAAAACAAGAGAGATAATAAAGTAAGATAGAGAAACAGAAGAAGCAAAGAAGACAGCAGAAAAGTTAATAAACCACCAGCACACAGAGGCAGACAACCATCTAGACATACAGGGTGATCCAAAATAAAATGTACAATTTATTTTCTGAATATCTCTGACAAAATTTGAACTACAATTTTGCAATTTGGAACAGATATGATTCATTCAAAAGGAATTTGTTTGACAATAAAATTCATAAAGAAGAAACTTATTTCCAAAAATGGAAACGGCTTTTATATTAAAAAAACACCTAACTGCAAAATGCATCAATTAAAAAAATTTGGTAATTTAAGGATAGTCATGAAATGATTGGTTTGTTGTTTTTTTCCCCTCCCTATTCTTCTAAAATCTAATCTTTCCATCACAGTAACATTTAAACCATAATATTTTTTTCTCTAACAGCGTTTTAGAAATTGGTTTTTTTAAACTCTGGTATTCCGAGAACAAGTGCTCTTTATGTCCTTTTTAACGCGTCGTTCGTAATGTTCAGTGGTGATCTACCCAACAATCAGTACTAAAAGCTACACATACTGTACACCTTACACTATTGAGTTGCTTCTAGAGGTAGTAGGGCGGCAGGTGAGGTTGCCCAAATAGACATTTTGTGTAGTTAACATCCAGGAATGTGAATATGGACTAAGCCAAGGAATCAAAATTCATTGAGGAAAGTTCACACTTTTCAACACGATTGAGGAATCATGAACACATTGCTAATCCTCCGATTCATGTCAGCTTTGCGAACAGGAAAATGGTCCAGTCGTAGATGAAGATCTGCTTTGAAAATCTGGACCGTTGAGATGTAGGAAAGTCTATGTACAGACGTCTCAAGGGGCTCAGATTTCAGAATTCTGCACCCTGATGATGTTTAACTCTTTGAACCCCATCGGACGCTGGGAATGTATGGCGGTAATAACCCTGTTCCCCATCGAACACTGGGAGCGTCCAGTACTAGTGACAACTGTTTTATTTTGTTTAGTGCTATTTTTTGCTTGTTTTTCGGAACTATTCCTGAACCAAGTTTTTTAGTAATGACTAAGCCTTAGTTTCCACTATATAAGTTGGAGGCAAGCTTTTGGAGTTCTAATGAGACATAGTGCACCAGGTTTAGGTGACTGTAGAAAAAAACCTCTGGGAAACGGGAGAAAAAACTCAGGGCTTAAAAGAGTTAAGGGGGAGTGAACGGTGTATGTTTGATCTGAAGTGGTCGTTTTGTCTGGGAAGTTTTTGTTCTGACTCTCTACAGGTCCTAACTGATGGACCATTTCCACCCTTGACATCGAAAAAGGCATTAAGGGCACTTTAAAATTATTACTGTACCTTGAGCGAAACTTACAAAATGAGTTAGTGGTTAGCAAATGTTCAAAACAAAAATCTCTCTGCTCGTTACTAATCTTAACAATTATCTCAGCAGGAAAAGGAAACTTGAGAAAAACTATCTGTAAACTTCTGTTGGCCTGTTAAACTACTGTAACTTGCAATATGGCCCGATCGTTTGGGACTTTTAATGGTAGGCCTAATGCGAACTAGTGCGTCATGCGACAAAAATGGGGACATAGCTGAAAATGGGGTGTTTTTTTCATGCGCCATGTGGAGCAAAACTAAAATGAATGTCAGACCAATTCCTTAAACTGACTTCCAAATTTTGTGTACAAATTTGAAACGCAAAACTTCCGTAAGGAGGAAAATATTTACAAAAAAGTTGTATAGTTCTTTTTGGATCACCCTGTATGTGTCACGACACGGTGGAATCACTCGCTCATCAATTTTTGGGCGTAGGGATTTATTTTTACAATCTTAAAGCCTATTAATTTACCTTGCTTTTGATTTTAAAAAATACTCATCAAGTCTAAATAAAAGTCAAGATATTTGGGATTTAAGGTGTTGGGGGTAAAATAAACGAGAAAATGGACTCTAAAGTTTTCCGACTTCCATAGTTTCAGAGTCCTTGAAAATGGGGCAACTTATTGTGCCTATGTTCAACGTTCTCCAGTAAAATCAATGCATGAATGTATTTTTACATTGATATTAAGGGTGTTATCAAACCGGTAGAAAAATGCCGGGTTTTTTTAATTTGATTATTTTGACGAGAGCCTGATTTCACTATGATGCCTCATAAATGAAACCACATATAGGCCAAACGGACGAACAATTTCAAGTTAAAAAAACTGTTAAGCAGTGTTCTTTTTAAGGGGAGACGTACACTGCTGGAAAAATTTTCTAAACAAAAGACTTTTATTCACTTTCATGTTATTGTGCAAGAAGTTCTTAGGTAAACAGGATGTAATAAGGGTGAATTTGTTGATTTTTTCTGAAAAATGGGTCTCGTGTGGCAGCCATCTTGGATTTTCAAATCAGTTTCTTAGTGCAGAAAAATTTCATAGTAAATATTGAATTATCAGCCTGAAATTTGGCACTCACGTACAAACCTATATGGACTGGGGATCTTGACCTATCTTTAAAACTAAAAAAGTGAAGCCAAAAGTCAATGGGCCCCTGAGAGCCACTTGACGAAATTTTGGGGTACATATTACCAAAAAAATGGAATATTTCCACAAGTTAAAAATATTTCCCTATTCCCTCACATAGATTTTTTAAACTCCTAGCACCAAAGGAGGTCACATATGTCAAAAAGCAGATTTTGAGAAAAAACAGGGATTTTAAAAAGGATTTTTAGTGCAATTTGCACTTTTCAAACGCCCTTTTAGGTAATTTAGGGTGTTTTTCAACAGTTTTGTCATTGTGACCCGATAAAACAGATGTCAAAGGATGTTTTTCCACAAAAAACAAAAGTTGGATAGTTAGAAAAATTTTTACGATATTTTCTGGGATCGCCGACCTGGGTCTCCCATTAAAATGCCGATCCACCTTTGCATCCAATTTTAAAACCTGTTCAAACTTGATCCAATGAATCTAATAATGCAAGTGACCAATGCCATAGCGTATATCATAAAAGAAGAGATAAGCATTGCCACCATAAGCTATTGAGAGAAACTTGCAACTTGTCTATAAAGTCACATTCACTCTACACAACACGTCTGCTGGTAGACATTTTTCATCACTTCTGCTTTGGAGGATATCAAACAGCCAGGGGAGACAAAAGGTGGGGGGAGGGTTGGATATGAAAAGGGGGGAGGGGGGGTCTATATCAACAAAGAGGAAAAATAGAAAACAACAAGTCCATTTACCTGAGATTGGTCGTTCTGGGGTACAGGATAAATGGCTACCCTGGGAAAAGAAGAATACAGAGAACAAGGATGAAGTGTAAAAAAAAATTATAGCTGCAGCTGCTGCTACTGTTACTACAACACTCAGTATACTAGGGGGGAAAAATTAATCATGATAATGATATTAACTTCTTCACTACCATGCCCGTCAAATTTACTGGCCTGAACCGTGTAGCGGTGTGCCTATGGCCCGTAGAATTTACGGGACTGTGACAGAGGTTGTTTTGATGCCAATTATGAGGGAAGTTACTACTAAAATCTTTAAATTATTATTGAGGAACCTTCCCTTTGTGTTTACCACCATTTTCTCCCCATTTGAAAGCATCAGATTCAGATTTTAGCACATAGAGAAGATTAGATCTAGATCTAGATCTAACACATCTACCGCACAAAAATGAAATAATTGGCAGTAATCACAGAAGGGCTTACTATATATATATGGATTGTACGAGCGTTGTATAAAGTAGGAAAAGCCTCTTGTCACTTCCTCTTTACCTGCCGACACTCACGCAACATGCATTCCCCGGCAAAGCAGCACCCAATGGCCGAATCATGCTCGACCCACCAATGGTGATTGCCAGATGCAAGGAGAGCCTTCACGACCAAGAGGAGACAGACTCCCACACACTCAGCACAATAAAAGAAAAGTGTGTGCTTGGCACAGCGAAAAAAGTTTGCTCCGAGGAGTGGTCAGGTGTGTCTCAAACCAGCTCCTCCTGGAGACAATTAGCAGGAAGACCCTGAGGTGGACGCTGGAAAGGAGAGATGAGCAGCTATGGACATGTGCCGCCTGCTATGATTCTAGCTCTAGATCCAAGTAAATCCAAGTAAATCCAAGTAAATCCAAGCATTCCCCGTTTTTTGTCTCAGTTTATCAACTCCCAAGTTAAAACTTTCTTTGTAATATAACTGCCTGATTTCCAGACGGTATGTTCAGTTCAAATTGGTGAACCTCATCAAGAGCATATACGAATGGACAAGTTGCAGGGTTGTACATGATGGCCAGCTCATTGACAGCTTTGACATCAAGACTGGTGTGAGACAGGGATGCTTACTATCACAGTTCCTCTTCATATTGGCAATCGACTGGCTGATGAAGGAAACCACCAGAGGACACAGAAATGGTATACAGTGGACACCATGGACACAGTTGGACGATCTGGATTTTGCAGACGAATTGGTGCTTCTGTCGCACACCCAGGAACAGATGCAAGCAAAGACTTCAGTATTAAACAGCCTATCGGAGTCTGTTGGATTGAGGATCCACCCCGGAAAGTCAAAGGTCCTAAGGACAGATGCACAACGAAAGGAGCAGGTCACAATCGAAGGAAAGGCCCTAGAAAATGTTGAATCCTTCTGCTATCTTGGGAGCATAATTGAAAGAGAGGGAGGAACAGGTGCTGAAATAAAGTCCTGCATTGGAAAAGCACAGGCTGCTTTCATATCTTTGGATATGATTTGGAAGACCAGAGATATATAACTTCGAACAAAGCTGAGGATTTTCAATTCAAACGTGAAGTCGGTCCTGTTGTATGGATGTGGGGCATGGAACGCATCACAGACTTGTATAAAGATGATCCATGTTTTCTTGAACAGGTGTCTAAGAAAGTTACTGAGTATCAGATGGACAGACAGGGTCACCAATGTGGAAGTGTTAAGGAAAACAAGACAGATCCTAGTCAGAGATGAGGTAGGAAAAAGGCAAAGGCGATGGATTGGACATACTCTCAGGAAGTCAGGCAGCTGCATAACAAAGAAAGTTTTGGATTGGAACCCACAGGGCAAGAGATCAAGGGGAAGAACTCGTGGAACCTGGAGAAGAATCACAGAAATCGATGTACAGAAAAGTGGGAAGACATGGAATAACATCAAGAGGCTAGCCCAGGATAGAGAAAGGTGGAGGGTGTTTGTCCGTGGCCTATACCCTGGTGCAGGGTGAGAAAGGCAATGATGATGTTCAGTTCAATCCATTTCCACTGCTTTCTTCTGTATGAAAATGTTCTCCTTAATACTTCCTCATTGGTGACTCTGTCTGTCCATCTGATCCTGAGGCATTTCCTCAGGCACTTGTTGATGACAACCTGAATCCTCAAGTACTTTGTGGTGAAGAGTGCTTTAGGAGAGCCCAACTCAGCTGCACCACCAAACAATCCACAAGGGGAGTGCAAGCCAAGGAGTTTCTCTTCACTTCTCTGGACATGCTTCCAAAGGTTCCCTCCCATTATTGCCAGCAAAGCTCTGGAAAACTGTATCTTGATCCCTGATTCTGTAATCTGGTCGGAGCTTCATTGGTTTTACGAGCACCCAGCACAGGTTAGGAACAATCTGCCTTGTAAGTCAGACTACTCAAATATGTGCTAAATGAAAAGAACATGTCAATCTATGAGGTAAAAAAGAGCAATGTAAATTGTGCGTGAGTTTTGAGTCTTGACAACGTCAACCAGACTAGGTGGGAATCTCATATGTCAGAAAAGAAAATGACAAAGAAAGGCACGCCATGGATAAAACCTTTGCTCTTAGGCAAGATTGGAATGTTTTGCATGAATCTTCAGGGAGTATTTTTGGAACTGTCTATCAATTCCTCCAGCTCTTGTTTCAAAAGCATGCATATAATCTTCAAAGCAACCTCGTACGATGCCATTGATTACTTATGACACAAGGCACAAGGTAGTTTGATTGCAAATGAATTCACAAATTGTTTGATGGACTTTTTTTTCAACGTGCACAAAATCATAGAAGGTTATAACAATATATTATCATACAGCTAAGTGTGAGTGTGTGTGTGTGCGGGAGCGTGCGTGCATGCGTGTGTGTGTGTTTGTGTGTGTGTGTGTGTGTGTGTGTGTGTGTGTGTGTGCGTGCGTGTGAGAGCACAAAATTGCATCTGTTTCTAATGCCGTGAGTGCCTTTTCCACTAAAGCAAACACCGTAATTGAATACAAAATCTTATAAGAGGCTACACTCATATGCAAGTAGATAGTATGCATGGCGTCATCAGGGCTCCCCTTTACACACAAATGTGCGTAGATTACGCATTAAACCAGCAGACTACCCCGTTTAAGTTTTGGTTGTGCGTGAGCTTTACTTTTTATAATTCCATTTCGGGGGTTTGCATACGCTTGAAAAAGTAGGTGGTGTGCGTCTGCCAGGCATCATTTTCCCCCTTCTCTATCCCAAAGCCGAGTCAATGAATTGACGACACACCCACACACATGCACGACAGTCTCCTTCTGAGTCAGAAGAAGTCGAGTAGTCGACCTACTTATCAGATGCGCGCAGTTTCCGGCAACACAGGCTTACTTCAGCAAAGAAATCAGCACCCCCCCCCCCCTGCCATTGACTGTAGTGTCTCTAGGCCCTTCCCAAATGTGGGGGCATTTCTCGTTCAAGCACAGTAGAATTGTAAATGGGCGGATTCATGTCACGCTCATAACTGTGCCTGATCTACGACAGGGAACCTTTTCTTTCTCCTTACTTAACTATTGTCATTTTCCTCTACTTCTTTTGTGTGTTTGTCATTCTCTTGTGACTTGCTATTTCCGGGGTGCCTTGATAGTCGAAGCAGACCTTGTGCTGTTGAAGCTAGAGAGGTGAGCAGAATAAGTCTGATTCCCTGTAAAGACTTCTCTGTTGACACCTACCCTTTGGCGCTCATCTGGCCACACTGCAAGCAGAGCGAGCATAGCAGAGCGCAGCAGTGAAAATTACTACAAAGATAAAGTAAAAGAGGTAACTGGTGGTGCGACTCGCACGGGACACACCTAATACTTTTTAGTTGGTAGGAAATTTTGAATTTTGCCCGGGAGGCGGCCGAAGCCTACTCTTATCGATCTTAGACCACCAAGGGATCTTTAAAGTGCGCAACTTGCACACGGGCCCTCCGAGATTTTTCACCCTTGTCCGAGAAGGCTAGGTGTAAATCTTTCCTACCAGAAGATCAGGGGTGTGGCAGAAAGACAGCTGTAAGAAGTAGTCAAGGAGTAGCAGTAGAAAGGCTGCAGAAAGAGTCAGAAGCCCAGAGGATGGGGCAGAGGGAGTGGGTGCAGAAAGAGGAGACGAAAGCAGACCACATAATATTGCTAGAGAGCAGGAAAGGAGGTGAAAGGAGACAATTTTAGAGAATAAAATTTTTCGGTCGCTACCTGGATTCGAACCCGGGACCTTTGAATGAGAGGCCAACACCTTAACCTCTAGGCCACGAGAGCCCCCACTGAAGTGTTTTAGCATATTAGCAGAAAGTACTCAAAATGTACTCATAAGTACTTTTTTTTAAAGTACTTGTACTCGAGTACATTTTGCAGGAAAGTACTTTCACTGTACTTAAGTACATATTTTAGATTGTAGGCCTACTTAAATTTGTTCTTAAGACCCTTTTTAAAAGTACTTTAACAACTCTGGTTATAACAGCCAATCTTCTTCGGACAGGTGGACACACGCCCTTATTTGTTAATTATTGTGGTTGTTTATGGGCTGTTCTAATTTTGATTTCATTCTGTTGTGAAACTGTTCTTTTTCACGTTTTTACACTCATCTAAAAATCTCTAGACGAGCTCTTGAAAATTGAAATAGATATATATAGACCCAAAAATTTGCTCCTGTGTGTGTGTGTGTGTGTGTGTGTGTGTGTGTGTGTGTGTGTGTGTATGCATGTGCGTGTGTGAGTGTGTGTGTGCGGTAGTAAGTGTGTAAGTGGAGAGTGAGGAGTGTGTGTGTGTGTGTGTGTGTGTGTGTGTGTGTGTGTGTGTGTGTGTGTGTGTGTGTGTGTTTTTCGGGCTTTATTTCAGCCTTTATTCAGTAACATTTCAAAGTATACAAAAATAGAACCTCAGGATCCATTCACTCCAGGGCTCATGAGTCGTTCCTCTCTTTCAGTTTCACTCATCCATTCAATTCCCGTGTTCTCTCCCACGGCTCATCCCCGTCCGCATGACTTCCACACCCCACCTCCTCCCTCCAGGCACACACAAAGAAAATCTCACTCGTTCCCTTGCACCCTGCGAA